ACACCAGTTATTTCATTTCGACATGATAAATGAAGTGTCACCTTCATGCACTTGCAGTAGGTTTTAAATAAGTACAGCAACACTCATTTAATTTGGGAGGGGGTGAAAGCTTGCAACAGCACCTAAAAGAAACTTCTGGAAATATGATCTTTAGGAAAATTGCATAATATCAAGTAGGCCTTCATATTTTTAAGATTATCATTAATAACAACTGGCCTCAAAGTAACTGACTGGAAGCAGGTTCACGAAGGCACTCTTCGGAGCTTGGCAGTTGCCTCACCTCAGTCATCTCGTGCAACACCAACTAAGTTTACTGAGTTGCTTACGTCTGATTTTATTTTACAAGTATTATCAAGGTGATCAGGTATTATCAGTTTAAGCACAAGCTCTACAAATTGCTCAGTATTATTTCATCCTTGGAACTTACTATATCTATTTCACTTTCATAACTGCAATAGGAAATATGTTTACTTCAGAGAATTCTTTGATCACTAATCTGAAATATTCTCAACAGAAAGACACCTTCCACTTCCCAGCTCCTAATTCTGCCCGATCTCAGAAGTTTTTGGATTCCATTCTAAAGGAAATTGTATCAACTAAAATATTACAAAAATTAATATTTTTGTCACTTTTGTTTTTGTTACATCTAAACAGTTGTTTCAAAGGAAAATAATACATCTGGAAAAACAGACAAAAAGGATAATTTGTGATACAATTTTGAGGATATGGATTTACAGGAGTCAGAAAAAGTTGCTTTCAGATTCTGACCTTAGCAGACATTAACGGGTGTGACTAAGTAGCTTTATCTTTATTTACAAAACCACTGTACTGATAATTTAGTTATTATAAAGATTAAATCAGTTCATATAGCCATATCCAACATCCTCAAATAACGAGCAAATACTTATTACACATTGTTATAATTGACATGATTTATTATATGAACTACTTATTAATATTTATTATATTCACTTCTCCCTCAGGAAAGATGTTTGGCAGATATTTGAAGATGTTTTGTTTAAAAGAAACTACTTTCTCGACACTTAAAATTCCCCAAAGGGGGCCCTCCCTGGGGGCGCAGCTTGTTAAAGCACAGCACTGAGAATCTAAAAGCCACTTCCGCATGAGTTCGATTCCCACCTGCCTGGGAGGTGACCACAATGCACGGCAGACCTCTCCTGACCCGCCGGCTGCTCCCCTCAGCAGTGTACTTCCTCGGTCTGCCTGCTCTGCTCCTCACTCTGTCTCTGGTGAATCCTCTCACCCTCCGCATCTCTTGCCTGTACCCCCGTTCTATATGAATAAATAAATCTTAAAAAAAAAATCCCCAAAGGGCTTGGAAAGTAGAGAACAGGATGTGTTGTAATTCACAAACCTCAGTCTTACCCATCCTTTTTGTGTTGTCTCCAGAAATGTCAGTTTAGTCAGACAGGAAGCAGAACTATACATGTATTCGATGCACTTCTTCTTGGCCATGAGTCTCCCACTAACCTGTTTAAATTGATTCTGGTTTTGAGGTTAGCCAGATTTAAAGGCTGCTTCAAAACAAATCATTTAAGTGATGATCTCTTTAGAGAAAATCTGGGAGTTTGGAGATAGACAATCAAGTTTCTATTCACAATAGCCAAAAAGTGGAAACACCCTAATTGTCCCTCAACAGGTAAATGGATAAATAAAATGTGGTGTAGATATGTGGGTAAATATTATACAAACATGAAAAGAAACTCTGATTTATGTTCACATATGAATTTCATAGGAAATCATGCTGCTAAGTGAAATACCAGATACAGAATGCTAAGTGCATTTCCGACTGGCATGAAACGGCTCCCAAGGGGTAAATTCACACAATATAGAGTAGGCAGAGGGTTGGTGGGGAAGAGCACAGTAGGATAAGGCGTTACTACACAATGGTAGTTTGTTTGGAGTGAATATAAAGCTTGGAAATGCATAAGGTGATGATTTTACAAACATGGCGAATGTTCTGAAGCTACTGAACTCTATACGTTCAAGTGATTAAAGTGGCAAGGTTTCTGCTATATGTCAATTTTATTGCAAAATACAATTTTAATGATTTTTTTTCTAAAGAGAATTCTAAATTTTAATTTAAAACCAGCAATTGGAGGAAGTCTATCTTCTTAAAATGTAAACTAGAATCCGTGACTAGAAGGGCTTGTCACCCTGCAAGAAGCCACCTCATGGCCAAGCTACTGTGCTGGAGCTTTCTGTATTAGTTTATAGCTTTCACACAGTTATCAAAGGTCACAATGAAATTTTTCCTAAAACAAGAAAAAGTGGCTTTTATTCATACTTTGAATTTTAAAAACACAGTTAAATAAAGACATTTGTTTAAAGTGTTGGGGAGCTGTTAAGAGTAAGTTGTTTTAAGGGGGATCTCCCAATCCCCACTGGAGTCACGTCAGTGGTGCAAGTGCCGAAAAAAGGGCTATCCTTATTGAGTTCTGGCCAGATTGGTTTTTTAGCCCCTAAATTGTGGGGTAGTTCATTAAATATCAATAGATAACTAGAATGCATGAGGTACATGCACTTTCACTTTCACTAGCAGGAACTGGGCCATCCTGTTCTTCCTGAGGCAATAAAATGATTGGACCCCTCCAACCCCAGCAAAAGAAAAACACATTAGAAAGACAAAATACTCTTAAGATACTAACGGTAATCTGAAACTAAAGGCCAAGTAGTGTAGAAATCACTAGTAATAAATTACCCTGGGGGTACCTGCATGAACGCTGTTGGCGAAGACAGCTAGGAAAGCGAAGAGTGAGGAGGAGCCAGACACACTGTGTTGGGGGACACAGTACCTTGCTCCTGCTTCCTGTGAGTGCACCTCTAAATTCCTGGAATGTCCCCATTTATAGGCGTTTTTGTTATTCATCAGCCCCTAAATGGCTTCAAGTTTGGGGCCACAGAAACATGGGACTTGAGGCATTTGAGGTACCTGGTACCAATCTCACTAGGGGAAAAGGGGCTGGAGTTTGGGTTCGTTCCCAGGGCCAAGGATTCACTCAATTATCCCAATGTAAATTAAAAAAAAAATCAACTAATAAAAACTTTGGACAAGATGTACAAATAAACCTCCCGGCTGATAAGCAGCAGTGCCCTGCCAGGAGGGTGATGTGCCCCAACTCCTTGGGGAGAGGACATGAAGCTTCACATCTGGGCACGCCCAGGCCTCGCCCTCTGCAGCTCCTCTCTTGTCTTTGTTTCCTTATGCTGCAATAAAATTGTAACTGTAAATAGAGCTCTTTCCTGAGTTCTGAGTCATCCAGGACATCATCAAGCCTATGGAGGGTGGTGGGAACCCCTGAATTTGTAGCTCGTAGATCAGAGGTACTTTGGACCAAGGAGTCCTTGAACTTGCAGCCGGGATCTTAAGTCTCAGAGAACTGAGCCCTGAACCTGTGAAGTTTGGCCCGGCTCCAGCTTATTAGTGTCAGAACTGCCATGCAGTTGAGCACAAGGGAAATTTGCTTGAGATATGGAGGCCCCAAGGGAGCCGCCAGCACATATTCTACAGTGTGGAAGACTGGTGCATGGTGCCACGCACGTCACTGCTGATCTCCTGGCTCACCTTGTTGGCATGGGGCACCAATCTGCAGCTCCTCCAGCTCTTGCCACATTTCCTCCAACTTCTCTACATCGAAGCCAATAATATGTACAGTGCTGTAGCTCAGGTGCCAGCTATGCCTGCAGGCTTCAGGTTATCCAAGTCCTCTAAAGTAGAATAATAGGAGACAGATGCAGGCTCCATTTCCCCCCCCTAGCACTTTGCAGTTTCTCGCTGCTCCTGTTCTTTAGCTTTCCATCTCAGCTGCTGGTCTAGCTAAGTTATGATTTCAGCCCCAACACAAGACACAGGACCACAGAGTTCACCAGCAACCACAAATGCATAAGGCTGAATTTCTGTAGTCGCATATTCTCTAACAGTTCTGGCTCTCTGATTTTATCTTGATTGATCAAACTGTCTACCCACTGATCGAAACTACAAACGCAAATGTGATTGAGAACTAGAAATCATAGGATACTAAGGTTTTCATCCTTGACTGCATATTAGTATCTTCTTAAAAATACTGATGCCAAACTCTTTCCCTAGAATTCTGGAAGTTGTTTTTTTGAAAGGTTCCTGATACAAAAGAACAAAGAAAAGGTGGTCTTATACATACATACGTACACACACACACAGTATTACAGCAGGAATCAATCAAAACACCTCTTAAAAAACACTCCTAAAATCAAGGGACATACAAGTATTAAAAATTAACCAACAAAAACATGGACAATATGCAAAACCAGCAATATAAAACAAAATAGAATTCAAAGTCAACAGTATAATGGGTCAAGAACATCCAAATTGATGTTATAATGCATGGTAAAGAAATTGTTACACTCACTTTTGCATCTAGCATATCTTCAGGATAAAGGAAATAAAAACTTGAGACATACTCAGACAAATTTGTGAACTTTCAGAATATATGGAGCTATATATGTAATATACATATAAACATGGAGCTGCGTATGTAATATATATATAAACATGGAGATATACATGTAATATGTATATATAAACACAAATATCTACAAATGCTAGAAAAAAGTGCTTACACAAGTTAAGTCACCTGAAAATAGGATCCCTGGAAACAAAACCTTCTGTTATTAAACTGCTTAAACAAATTTAACAACTTTATGTTGGCGAGATAGCTCCAAACTCTTGATTCTCAAATATATATGCTATGTACAAAAAGTACATTTTAGAATACTCTAAGTTAAATGTTATTTTAAACATACTACAAAAAGTACATGGTTAACTTATCTGTTAGTGATGTCAAAAAACTAAGTCACACCCCCCACCTCTTTTTCAGTGTATTAAAAAGAAAGCAACAGTGTAAGTGCTGTGATTAGTGTTAATAAGAATCCCAAATTTTCAAGGAGTGAATGAACTTTTATGCACAACTTCTATAATGAAAGGGAAACAGTACCTTGAGAGATAAAAGTAAATCAGAAAGTTTTAATTCTTTCAAAAGATTAAACAAAAAAGCAATTTATACAATCTCCGTAGTAAAATGTGTCCTTATACACAAGTTCCGGGCACTTAGAAAATGTAAAAACTTTTAAAGTTTGAATAACAAAGGCAACACTCAACAGCTTCAAGAACTTTTTACCTAAATCAAGAATCTTTTTCCCACAAAAGGTATACTTTCAGTAAAACATTTTATTGTTTTATCTATGAATTTTGTTCTTCCTGAAAAGGGGGCAGTTACACTGTTTTTAATGTAAAAAAATACATTTAGAGATATTTAACTTCCTGAGTGACTTCATTCTTACATCAAACATGATTTAATGAACAAATTTAAAAATGTCAGCATGAAACGGCATGTGCAGACTTGTATTTGTATCTTCAATAGGATAAAACTCAAGAGTATGTCACACAACTTACAATTAATTTTCTAAATTAAACATGTTTTACTCCCAGCTTTTACTAAATTTTCATAAATAAAATGTCACTAAATGAATCACTGAAAATACATTTGCTCACTTATTAACAAAATACTGACAGTCAATTGTGACTTAACAACTTGAATGTTTTCTATTATGTACACCAAAATCTGACTACCAAATTTCTTGCAATACAAAAGATAACAATTAAAATATTTGCTTTATAATACAACCAATTCATACAATATATCACTTCTTCAATTGTTTAAAATGCTTAGCAATTGTAGCAGTTTCCTTTGCATAAAACCTTTTCCACTTCATAAAGCCCTGAGGTGAAAGGTTATTCATATAGTAAAAGTGGAACCACAAATCTTCTCATTTCTGTATTATACTTAGCTGTAAGATTTTTCTTTATGTATAAAGAAACGTGGCAAATTTGAAAAATTGCTCTGTACAGTTTTTCAAAACATTTCCAGGCCAACTTAGCCAACAGGGGCTAGAATGACCCTCCACAAATGTCCTTTTCACAGATGTTAGTGTCGAGAGGAGCGCCATTTTCCATCTCTACTACTGTCTCTCCTATTATCATCATGGCTCCAGCCATCATGATTCCTATCTTCATAGAAGAAATCATCTCTGCCTCCTCTGTAATGATGGTCAGACCCATGATCAGAATAACGTTCACGGCCATAATGTCTATCCCCTACATAGGGATGAGAATTCTGTCTGACTTTGCGCTGGGATGATGGTGTGTCTTGGCGCCACTGAGAGCTTGGGGACTGGTTAAATGTATGATTATGTGACTGAACTGATGGGGAGAATCCTGATTGATCCAGATGTGGAGAACCAAACTTCCCACCATATGACATCTGCCTCAAAAGACTGTTCATCTGAGGGAAGAGAAAAAGAAGGAAATGTCTAATATATCTAGAGATCAAAGTCCATAGGTATTTTCTCAGTTACCAAACATAGCAAAGAAAAGCAAACTCATTCTCAAATAATAATTGTGTGCAAAATGATTCTGAAATAGAATGTTATTAAAATTAGTATAAAACGAGTTTCTTTCATCATACTGTATGCCTGTATTTGTTTATAACATGACTCCCTGCTCCAAAGAACCCAGCTTAGAAAAGAAGTGATTAAAATGATGTGAATCACAGTGTGATGAATCTGCATAGGCAGGAGCTCTGTATCACCACGAAAAGTGTTTCAAAGTAGTAACTCGAGCATTAAGAACTATTTTAAGAGGGAAATATGCTGCAGAGAGCAAACTATAGACAACAGTAATGAGGAAACACAGAACAGGTTCATAGAATAGTGTAACCTTAGTTGAGGCGTTAGATCTAAGTAGTGAAGGATGGATGACAGAGCTATAAAGGTGTAATGGAACCAGACCACAGGCAGCCTAATAACAGAAAGTTGGGAATATAAGTAAACCAAGGTTGTAATGGTAATTATGGAAAAGTATATGAGATATTAATTACCAGCGAGTTCTAAATTCTATCTATAGACAGTTATTAGCCAATAAAGATTCTGAATAGAATACAATAAACTGAGAAAAATATATGTTTGTAAAACTTGGCATCCCTTTGTATTAGCATTTCAATTTTACTTCATCACTGTTTTTATTTTGAAACTCATGTGATGACTGTGATTTGGGCAAAGGTAAGAAAAAAGACAAATGTAAGAAAAAGAAATAAACACTTGGTAATCATTTAGAAACAAAAATGGAACAATGTAGAAAAAAACGATACCTAAGATAAAAGTAGTCTCATGGTAATATTGTTATAGATAAATGGAAAGTTTAAGAAGAAGCTGACCTAGGAGACTATAGTATATTAAAGTACTAATATTAAGTATTAAACAGTTTGTAAGATCACTCAGCATAAGTCACAAAAACATTAGACTGAATTTTCAGTTTTTGAACAACACACCCCCCAACAATTGCTAAAGAAAAATACAATGTAAACTGCAGTTCTTCTATTTGTCTTCAATCTTTTCAAGTGTTTCAAGTTAGTGAAAATTAAAATTGCATGATCAGTTTAGGAAGATTATGCTAATCTAAGTAAAATTTAGTAAATTAATAATACTTTAACAAGGTTTTCTTTCTTTCTTTTTTTAAAGCAATTGCAATTGAAAAATCTACCTACCACTGCTTGCCTCTGAAAATTCTCTGGAGATGAGAAAGATCTCTGAATTATCTGTGCTGATGGAGTCATGTTATCCACAGTTCTTTCATATCTGCAAAACAAAAGTAAACCAATGTAATAGCAAATATTTACTACAAGTCAAGTCAATCAGAAGCAAGATACTGTTCTCAAGGTAGGAGTTAACAAGACAGAGTAGGCATCTGCTCTATGGGGCTGCGGTAAGAATTTACCACCATTACACATGGTGATAAGTTACATGAAGAAGGGCTAATGAGCAAGAGGAAGGTTCTACTGTAGTCTGGCTGATCAGGGATGAGCTTTCTTATTAAGAAAATGGAGTGAGCACTGAATAACACAATTACTCAGAGGCGTTCCATCTGAGGGAAGGACTAGTACAGAGGTGGCAAACCATAACCAAAGAGGAATACATTTGAAGGAGGAAGAAATTAGTAAGAGTTCTGTAACATATGCAGGACATTAATTTTAAGGCCTTATTCTTTTACTTTTAAGTAGGCTAGCTTGTGCTATAGAAAAGCTCTCTTAGAAAATGCTTAAATTTTACTTGAGGGCCCTCCCTGGTGGCGCAGCAGGTTAAAGCACAGCACTAAGAAGCTAAAGCCACTGCAGCATGAGTTCGATCCCCGCCTGCCCTGGAGGAGATCCACATGGCGTGGCAGACCTCTCCTGACCCACCCGCTGCTC